CATTGAATAACACCATTGTGATCATTGTCATTAGCTCCTAGCCACATATAATTTATATCTATATATTTTGAAATGGACAAATATGTCAATATGTCATTAGGATATGATATGTAATATTTTCATGTATGAACACTTCTGTTGTCTTTTCTGCACACATAAACGCGACAGTTTTCATTCACAGTGAGTCTTTTTTTTCATGTTTTACCTTCTCATTTTTTTGTTCCTGAACAAAGGTGTTTTTCTTTAGTTGGAAGCATTTCATGTTGGTACCTATCGACAGTAATTTTCAAAAACTTATCACAACATTAGTGACAAACATAATTTTTGCACTTTCTGATGCTATGCCATATATTGTTGTTCAATTGAAGTAAACTTTAGTCTATTTCAAAATTTAGTAACGGTATGTCGTAATTCGTCTTGTTGATCTTTATATTTTGATATAAACAATGTATAATTTGTCAAAGAAGTTATAATTTCATTTAAATAATAAGTTATTGTGTTTTTAATACTTAATTTGACGTACATTTGATTCGAAAGTTATTACAAGCGTTACATTCGATTCTTTTTAAACAAAACTGTATATTCAAAATGAATTAGTCATTATTTATGCAACAACTTAATAGCACTGTTAACACTTCTAAGTTAAAAGTAAATGAACGCACAATAACGGTTTTCAATATTATTTTAAACACATTGTAAACGATATATACTCTTTAGACTAAGCGAATCTCCTGCCCAAATAAACCGAGGCGTAAGAGTAATCGCATTAATACAAGTCAAGGTAATTATGTAAAAATAAAGGACAAAAGACTTAAAGATTTATTTCCGCTCATTGTTTGCTCGTTTAGGGCACACACATTTTTTTTAATTGGGGGCCATACGCCGCTTTTCATGGAATGACACTACTGTGTCACATTGAAGGTTCCATGATAACCGCCGTATGAACACATCTGCGGATTTTCTCTAATTCAAAATTTCACCATTTTTGTATTTAGATGTTGAATTCTGCTTAAGCCGGTGCGAAGGGGCGTGCACGGTATTCTTTATTTGGTAAGTGTTTTTTAACAAAACTAAATTAAAGTTTTATCATCCTTTCCGATAAGTAAGTAATAACATGATACTATAAAGAATCATTACTAAAAAACTCTAACAAATCATTTGTAGAGTTGCTTCGCTTTATATTTTGATGATCATATATCAACATATCTGTATATATAGTCTAATTGAATTCAGTTTATACACAAGTTATTTTAGTTCAATTGAGTGCAAGGTTTTACACTTAAAGTAAAACATTCGAATCCGTTTTTGAAACCATCCAGTACTCAATGAAACAACGTTTTTATCCTAACAATGTTTGTATCCACGTGGTCAGCATATCTGAAGTAATTTGTCCAACATGTTAATCACTCTGCTATGCCGCCACTTATAAAAATATAATTCTTTCTTCTAAGTTAACCCAATACTGATATACACCCATTTTAACGCCTTTTTCATCCCCCCTTTTATTGTTGTCTCAAATGGTGAAAAAATGCCTTATTCAGGCCCCAACAGAGAAACGGTGTTTAAAAAAGTGACCACTTTTTACTGCGCGGCCCCCAACCAAAAGGGGTTTGCCGGAAGGGGGATGTGCCCCCTTCTGTTTGGAGGGTTTGAAGGGGGTGGCAGCCCCCCTCATCGCCAATAAAATTGTGGACTTTTGAGAGGCTTGAAATGACGCCAGATCGATCATAAGGTTGCATGTAACCAACGCTGAAAAGCATTTGACTCTATCTCAATCAATTGAGAAGTTGCAGCTCTTTGAAATCAATTTTGACGGAAAAGAATAAACGCAAAATAGTGATTTTTTGCAATTTTGAGATATCCATTCGTTGCTATGGGAACAGGAAATTTAAGCCTTGGCATGTTGTTACAAAGGCAATGGTCCAGTCAACATTTGTGCCAAGTCTGAGTAATAGTGAAGCAGTTTTTGTATAGTTTTATAGCAATTTGAAAGTAAAACTTACTCTGTTGGATTGCCATTGATTTTATTTTGTTGAATATTGAAGCCGAGTCTACAATTGCCAGATGGCCTCCATTCATATCATGACAAAACTTGTTGGCGTCAGACCAAGACTTGTTAGTTGCGATGTATTTGAAACATGAACCTTCTAAGAGGAATGCACCGTTAGAACAATCTTGAAAATACAAATAATTCATTTAATGCAATTTAAGAAATAATTTAAAACGTTTCGTATTAGAGAAAGAAGAAACATAATGAATAAAGAAATGTTTCAGATATTTTGTGTAATAAATGATTAAATAAAACAATGTTTCAGATAATATGTGTTACAAAGGATTATATAGAACAATGATTCAGATAATTTGTGTTATTAAGGATTACAAAGAACAATTTTGTTTAGATAATTTGTGTAATTAAGGATCATAATAGAACAATGTTTTAGATACTTTGTGAAATAAAGTATTCAATAGAACATTGTTTCTGATACTTTGAGTAATAAAGGATTAAATGTAACAATGTTTCAGATAATTTGGGTAATTAAGAATCAAAATAGAACAATGTTTTAGATACTTTGTGTAATTAGGGATCAAAATAGAACAATGTTTTGGATACTTTGTGTAATTAAGGATCATAAAAGAACAATGTTTCAAATACTTTGTGTAATTAAGGATCATTATAGAACAATGTTTAAGATACTTTGTGAAATAAAGGATTCAATAGAACAATGTTTCAAAAACTTTGTGAAATATAGGATCAAATGAAACAATGTTTCGGAAACTTTAAAATTGCATAGAATAATGTTTAACTTGTTTTGTTTTCTACACGTATAGAACAATGATCTAAATGTTTTGACTGAAAAACATCTGATCAATTGTTTAGATACACTTAACATGTGGTTGTTTCACAAGAGCAATAGTTAATTTATATTGATTGTTCACACTGAACAAAACAATATATCGGGCGCATTTAGTTTATTTATTTACCATAAGAATAGTTGTTTTATCAAACACATAGAACGATAAATTGTTTGATAAATTGTATCCAAATTTTCCCTCTCATACACTTCTCCACATGAGCATATTGTAAATATAATGCAGACATTTAAACAGAATATATCAGATTGTATAAAATCACTTTTTATTTGACTTTAACGATAAGGTCAACTATCTATGTTAAGCATATTGAATGTAAACACGCTCCTCTCTTCCCCTGGAGTCGATGTTTTGTATGCAATAGTTTTTTTTTCGTTTATTTCATGTCAATAACATAAGAAATCCTGTTCCCATCAGATAAAAAAATCATGCAAAGTTATGAATAAATCGTTTGGTCAATGAGAATGGGTGATGAGTTTCTCAATTATTTATTGCAACAATATTTTATATTGTATATGACTGCAAAAAGAGCAGAAAAAAATCAAGAATATTCACCTGTTATATCTCTCACATTTCCTCCACAAACATAAAACTTCATTATACATGTCAACATACGTAATATTTGCCACATTGTGTTTTATATCTTCTTATGTGTTTACGTGGTCAAACAGTTAACTGATATTAACGCTCTTATCTTTAGTTATTCTACATATTTGAACTATATATGTATTTATGTGTATATAAAGAAGGTTAATTTACTAATTTACTTAAAATTACTTTTTTATTACTATATTCTCGTTGTTTGCCTAGGTCATACTATGTATGTATTGCCTTTCATGCGTCATGCTATAATAAAAAAGCTATATTTTATATTATACATTTACAATCAAATATAAAATTAAATAAGTGAGTAGATATTTGTTTAGAATTTCATTTTTTTTTTTATTTTCCTATTTCAAAGGTCGGTATATATATAAAATTAATGATCAATCGGTTGAATTTAGAAGACCAATTTTTAAACATTCATTCTGGAAGGGTGGATTTAAAAAGTCTGAAAAATTTTGAAATAACTTAGATATTTTCAAATCACAGTGAGTAAATTTAATTGTCTATGTCTTTAAAAGAATTAAGTTTACAACAGATGTAAATATACCTGTCATTTTGCACCTGTTTATTGTGAAAGCGCCTAGGCTACTCTGCAACATTACGTCGCCTGTCTGAGACATTCTAATTAAAACATGAGTTTGCTTGAGATATCGTGTATAACAAAGAAAAGGTGAATAATCAAGTTTTAGCTTTTATAAATTTATATATAACTTTGAAATGGAAAATACAAAATATAGATTAATACTAAATTAAAAACATGTATTTTCAAAATATGCCATCCCGATATATGTATATGTTTCCTAAGAAACGGCACTGTATTACTTTTCTTCTACTATTTAAAGGAAACGTGTATGATTCGTTATGCTGTTACATGTACTTTAACATATCAACGTTTTCCTCAATACTTTTAAAAGACAATACCATCATTTCGAAACAAAAGTAACGTTTTTTGATTGATGCAAGTTTATTTCATTTATTAAATAAATTATGTATAAGCAGTTGGTTTGCTAGGTTTTCATTGAAGTGTTCCTTTTGTTCTGTACTTGGCCTATCAATCGGTCAAATGAAGTTTAGAACTAAATTGTATTGCTTTTGTGTTCGGAGGTCTTGAGAGTAATAAGAGTAAAGGAAAAAATAAGCAATAGCCATATCAAAACAAACACTAATTAGATTTATTTATTTGGTCATACATTTGCTTCCGATATATATTAATGCTTGTTAGAACACAGGCGTTGTCCGTTCGGCAAGTTCCGGGAATAGGCCTTGTGTCGAAATGCCGACTTTTGTTAATTTTTAAACAATGCTGTAAAGGACGATTTTATCATTTTACTTTCTATGAACAATTGAATTTAAATCTATCAGACCTGGCCAATGTACCAGTTTGCCTTATAGATTGAGTGTTACACTCTTTTCAAAACTATGAGTGCCTAAAACTAAGAGTGCCTAAAGCAAAGAAAATCAAAGAAAACAAACACAAAAGTACAAAACTACTATTTAATATAATACACAGGCATATAGTTTGGACAAAAGTACATTCAAAAAATTACTCAAATTGTAGTACAAACACTTAATTAATGGTTTTCTTTTTACGTTATTTTTAAGTGTTCTGCTCTCAGGTTACGACTGTAAAATTATTTTCAGAAGTATTGACAATAGCAGATATACATGTATAATGTTTTACAAATATAGCATGAATGTTGTTGAACTTAATTTCAAGCTTCACATATTTGTATATAAGCTTTCCTTTCTGATCTTGGCCAAGTATAAAAGGGTGTAAGGAACATTTCAAGAACATGTTACAAAAATGGTACACAAACTTTATTCGAATAATTCGAATGCAAAATGATACTTTTTATAGTTTTTGTACTGCATGAAGTATACTTGACAGCAAAGGCAATGTAAAAGTACGCACATGTTACAAATTGGATACCTTTTAAACCCGAAAACGCGGAAGAAACAATTTAAAAAAAACAAGTGGAAACGCGCGGATATGAGACGTGGCTTATTATTTTGCATAGATGTTATTTTGCAATTTGGTTTGCTTTATTCGTCACAGGTTGTAATGAATTATATAACATAAGATTTATAAAATTAGAAACCAAATTAGAATTAATATATAACCAACAGCTTGAACAGCTTAAAGCATTTATTATTTCAAATCAAATACAATTAGAGTAATGTTACTTTCAAGTAAAAATGTATAATTGTGGGTATGATTGTTTATGTCGTACTTTCTTTACTTTACAACAATACTATATCCATTTGGTGTGATATTTCGTCAATCAACCAGAAAGTTGTCATTAGTCCTTTTCCCTGAAAAAATAACAAGGAAAATGTACAATAAAACACTGTTTTAAAATAAACTTCAGTGCTTTTTACACTATGAATTTTTTATTAATAACTTAAATGCAAATATTACATGGTGTAAGCTAATCAATCGGAACACCTCGGCTATTATCAAATAATAACCTCGGAAATAATATACATTGAAAGATTTTCTACCACGTGTTATAGATATAAACAAAAACAGAAGGTGTAATCATTGATACTGTATATATTTGACATTAAAAGAACAATAAAGTCTTTTCGGTAAAACTATGATTGAAAATATGTCTGCCAATCATTATCAATTTTAAAATGCCCACTTATAATCAAATTCGAATTAATGTTAACATGTATTCATTTTTAACCATTAAATACTTATCTGGTCTTTGGTCGAGAACTAAAGATGCATAAATTGTAACATATAACAATTTTACAAACATTCATGAATACAAATGACCACTGGATTAAGATCGACAGCATCTCGAATAACAAAACATTGATACTAGTTAATCCTTTTTTCTAAATTTGCGTGTTAGGTATTGGTGTTTAATCTACATTTGTAAAAGATACTAACATAAGGCTTGTGTCAAAATTACTTATATTTTATTTCTTGAGAGAATGAAAACACATAAGTAAAATGTTTCAAGCAAAGACGGACACAGAGTAGCACCGCCAACCTTGGACACAGAGTAGCACCGCCAAACTTCTGCGTGTTTTTGATACATAAATTATAGTAAAATGGTAAATAAATGGATGTGAATAATTACCTTGACAGTTGTTGTACCTCTCTCTGCAGTGATAAAATTGCTGTCCTGTTCCAGTAATAGGTTCGTTTGTTCACTTATATGGATTTTCATAGCTAAAATTAAAAAATACCCATCTATTTCAAATAAGACGAATTCACATTCTAACATATGTTTTTCATATTTTCACGCGAAAAAATTAAATGTCATACTTTTATAATTAACTTTCACGGCATGAATTAAGCCGTATCTGACATACGTGTTACGTGTAACGAACAATACCTTCCCCTGTAGATTCCATTCGACTTGCAGTGTTAACAGTGTCTCCAAACAGGCAAAAACGAGGCATTTTCATCCCCACCACTCCAGCACAAACAGGACCTGAAACAAGTTATAATTATGGAATGGAATTGACGCAAAAAAAACTTAATCAGAATCATTTTCAATTTGAATGCACAATCGGGAAGAACGTATACGTACTGTGCCGTTGTTGTGATTATTTTTTATAAGACAGTCTGAAAGAAGGGTACATCCTTTGCCGCAGTAAATATTTTAACCTTTGAACCACCTGAATCTATGCTCTTGGCCTTTTTTGTGCTCTGTGCAATATTTCATAAAAGTGATTGTTAAAAAGATTTTTTTTAACTTTTATATATTCTACATTTGGAGAAAGTGTGACCTTGACTTTTGCACAGCAACCTCTTTTTTACGATCTGTACACCGTCTAATTATGATGATCATCTGTGCAAAGGGTTTTTTGATCTTTTTATTAATTCAAAAGTGATGAAGGGACCTGAAATTCAAGACATTTTTACATTTTACCTGTACGAGAACTATTAAAAACCTTTTCATCCGTTTAAAAGTCATGAAGCGGAAATAGTATGTTGGCTTTTTTGCACCTAAAAATGTTCTGTAAGTAAGACCTTGACTTTGGGGGTTGAGACATGATCGCATATCGTCTAATATCGCCTTATAATGGTGATGATCATTTGTGCTTAGTCATTTAAACACTTTTGATTTTTTTTAAATTATATTTTAGACAAGAAAATATTACGGACGAAAAAAACAAACAGACTGGCAGATGATGGCCATTCCTATAATCCACTACGAGATTGGACACAAGCCTTAACTAAAATGATAGCATACTCATGCAAGTGTATAGAGTGAGTGATTTTGCCGAAATTCCTTTATTTGTTCGCATATATTTCGCATTAACGATAACTAACTCACATATCCGAGTAAAATTGTTTGTGAATAGTCATCGAAATTATCCTGTATCGTTCAAATTCTTTATATTTATGGCAGAGTTTCATTTTCCTACACATTTTACAATATCAAGTGTTGGTTTATTACCATATAACAGATAATCTTTTGGCATATATAGTCAATGTAGCTCAAATTGACAATGACAAAATTATGCCACTTAAAAAATGGGCAGCTTCCTACCTTTACACCATAGTCGAAATTTAAGCGATGTTCATTAAGTCGTTGATATCAAAAGAATGTATAGTTCAAAGTGACTTACACATAGTTAGGAGACAGTTCATAGTAGTCAAAATTTTCTAAGCTTAAAGATATAATAATAAAATTTGATGTTTGAAACTATTCTTAATTGCTATACAGTCCATTTGTGTGATTAATTAAAAATGGTTTGACTTCATATAAAGTTGAAATGTTACACAATGTCATGTGTTATGTATAAAATCTGCACACTTTATGTAGACACAATATGAATACTGTATATTGTGTTATAAAAAACCGGCGGTTTTCTTTTTAACAAAGGGCTATTTGTACTTGACCAGTTATAGGGAATGCAGCTTCCCATACATAATTGGTACATTCTTTTATTCAAATTAGATATATTCAGTAAGAATTTCATATATTTAATAAATTTCTTCGATTAAAACATTTTACGTACATTTGAGCATAGTATATCTTTAAGATATAGTTTGTACAAGTATGTTTATCAAATTTACGCGACATAAGAACGTGGATACTTGAATTCAAACCTTTTACTCATTCCACTAATTCTATGATGTATATTTGTCACAGACAATGCACACGGCAGGTTAAATCCTCTCAATTCCTTGGAATGTCAGTTGATCGGCCGGGGTTAACTCATTAGATTTGCCCAACAAAGAGACATTTAAAGTAAACATAACCTTGTACATGTACCTGAATGAATTCCAATACGAGTTTTCAAAGGTGTGCACGGCTGGTGACGTATGGTAAATTGACGAACACTATGAACAATGTCCAAAGCCATTCGTGCGATTTGACGCACATGGTCATTTCCGTTCCTTTCCGGAAGTCCCGACACTACCATGTAGGCGTCTCCAATCGTTTCAACCTGAAATAATTTTACCTTTACAGAAAAATGTATTTTACTCAGGAATTGTCTTAGTTAATTTGTTAAGTTTCTTTGAGCATTCATTCTTAAATAGAGAAAGGCCTGTAAAGCATCAACTCATGTAAAATGTTGAATTCTGCTTAAGGCGGTGTTAGGGGGCGTCAACGGTAAATTTTACTTTCCAATACCGTCCATGAAAAGGCTCAATCAAACCGAGCATGCAACATTTACAATTTTGTCGTTTTAGATGTTCTTTAGGGATTCTTTATTTCTCATTATTTTAAAATGTGATGTTAAAGTAAAAAACAAAGAAACATCATTATAAATCATTTAATAAGTAAAAATTAAATTGAAAATAGAATTAACCTACCTTATATACATCATAATTTTCAATTATTGCATCAAAACATGAGTACACGTCATTTAAAAAGTCGACCACCTAAAAAATATTGATGATGATAAATTGCAATTTTTTACAGTAAATCACATATAATTAGAAAACATAAATTCAAACAATTAGGCTTCATTACCCTGCCCAATACATTTTCAATATGAAACAAAAAAAAACGAAAAGGAGATGAGCATATGTATTGTATAAGGCATTTAATATATGTATTCTTGTCATAACAACAAATATCAAATAGACAAATAAGGTAAAAGCATTAAATTATATACAGACCTTAACAAAAATTGAACAATGATTCAACCGCAATTTCAACTACCTTTCTAGATGACAAAATCAATATCGTAAAACATCAATTAAAACATGCTTAAAGTATAAGAGGAAGAGGAAATTCTTTTGTTTTGTAATTTCAAATCCCTTTTGACAGTACTTGCAACATGATGTACCTGAATTGCCGAACTTTTGTGAAATGATAACCTGAATCGCCGAACTTTTGCAATATGAGTTACCTGAATCGCCGAACTTTTCGCAGCAATTTCTGTAAATCCAACGATATCCGAGAAATAAATTGTAACACAACTGTATGATTCCGGTATTACAGACTTTCCAGCACGTAACTGATCAGCCACGCTCCTAAATGTAAAAATTTCAACAAATAATAGCATGATCTGAAGTTGACTTTCTTGATAGTGAAATCAAATTAATTTTAATCCCTGTAAATTAAGGTGTTCTCTTACAAATAAATGATTTTGTTGTCATTATTTATTGATTTCTTACTAGGCCTCGGACTATGCTAGAATTTTTATTTATTTGTGTGCGAGTTGGAGTTGGTTGTCGGTTGATTTTCAATCTTCACTGATTGTGGAAAACATTAGGTACCCTTCTGTACCATAGGCGTTCCGTATACCCGTGACGGACAAGTAGTTTGATGTCAACGACCTCTACCAATCAACCGCAAACGCTTCGACAAGAGGACTCAAAACGCTGGTAAAGGAATACGACGGAATAAAGATATTTTGAGAGAATATTTAATAGCTGTATCTCATGTATCAGTTTATTAAACATTCATATGATAATTAACGAATTAAAAGTAAGAACTACTCAAGTGTCTAGGTTATTTTAAGTGAATTCAAAACGAATATTCAAACGTTTTACTTTGGTAGTACTTGGTACAATAGCTCCTCTGACTTTTTCTTTTCTTCTAGGAAAGCTTGGGTCCTGTCCTCAACCAATCCCTCTAAGTTGTTGGCATACTGTTCCATTCTATTCAACAGCACGTCAAGAACATTTTCCGTTGGATTGATATTTCTGGAATGTATAACATAAATCCATGATATAATGTCAAAGCTAAAAAAGGCAGATTTTTAGGAATAATAACAGAAATAATTATCATGATTTACCTTTATTTCCCATTCAGAAGTCTAGATGTGATAAATACATAATCAATTGTTCGTCATAAGTAACCTTTTCAAAAGCCTAAAAGACATGTGATTCAAGTCAGCTGAGACACTTCGAACAGAAATTTAAAATAAACTTGGGATTCAATTGGAATTCGATGTTTTTACAACTTTTAGCCCTACGTTAGTTAAACATGTTCAAACGTTTTCATTCTAAGGCATATATCAAAAATCGGATCTTTAGAGAGAGAAAAACTTAGCAAGCAAATCATAAAAAAAATTGCATACACATTTTTGAGGGGACACAAATTTAAAATACACATTTCTAGTCCTGTTATGCCAATATAAACTTCAGTGGAGTCCCTTTAATATGGAGGTCGGTAGCGTTCATTTTAAATGGCTCTGAGCAAACAGTCGCGGCTGAAAATTGCTATTACTCGCCGCGATGCTTTATACGACCGTTGTTGCGCGGCCTATAAGTTTTCCCCTCAATTTTTTTGTAGAATATCTACAACACTTGCAAAACATGTAGCGTTTTTCTTTCTGTTTCTCGACTTCCATTTAAACAAAAGAGGAACAAAATGTAGAGTCAAACCATGGACGCTAAAAGACACTAATGTCAAAATGTCCCTTGCTGTTTTCAAAATCTTTTATAAAATATCGAGGTTTACATTTTTCAATCTTGCCGTGTTGGGCTATCTTTAGGGATTCTGTATTTATCTATTTTATGATCATATCCGTGTTATTTGTGCCGTGTGGCGGCTGTAAAAAGTCTCCCCGTACATTTAATCAATGATGTTATATTTTCGATCCTTGAAGATTGTTCAGCACGACATTATTGTTGTGATTGTTGTATTTTTAGTTTCAACTTTTTGGCATTTTCTAGTTGGGTGGTTCCAATATTCCTACTTGAATAATGTTGAATCACCCTTAGGATATGTTGTCTGCTTTTTAAATTTGTCTTTTGACGTCTTATCTGTGATACGCAGGCTTCATAACCTCAGATCCCCTTTCAAAAATCTATTTTATTTAGTTCCGCCCATTGTTTTCTCGTTTAGGGCACACGCATTTTTTTTTACTCGGGACCATATGCCGCTTTTCATGGAATGGCACTAACGTGTCACATTGAAGGTTCCATGATAACCGCCATATGAACACATTTGTGGATGTTTCAAAATTCTAAATTTTACCAGTTCATGTTAAATGTTGAATTCTGCTTAAGCCGGTGCTAGGGGGCGTATACGGTAACTTGCACTTTCCAGTACCGTCCATGAACAGGTTCAATCAAACCGAGCCTGCAACATTTTTCAATCTTGCCGTGTTGGGCTATCTTTAGGGATTCTGTATTTATCTATTTTATACGTTCCCATCGACATTTTGTTCGATTTCGGCAGAAAAATCTCATGGCATTGTAAGTTGCCCGCAACATTTCATGATAAAACGATACAATTTCTCGCGGGTTTGAAATGGCCGCAACCGGCACGGCCACCATACTTTAAGTTTGTTTTATTCGGCGAATATTACTTTAATGTATCAATATGTCAGCTTTATTTTCAGCTCTTAAATATATAATTAATTTTACTGTAAGTATACCTTTTCATTTTGATAGCTCTTATCACTCTTCTAATACTGTGAAATGAAGGTCTATCCTCTGGCATTTCAAGCCAACAGCATTTTGTCAAGTTAACAATATCTGGAAATGAGTCTGACTCATTTAGTGTCGGTCTTACAAAACGAGATCTACCATGCTTGATCTTCTGAAGTGTATCTGCAAAACAGAATTGTCGTGACAGTTAATTACTTTAACCCAATGAAACATAATTAATATAGAGTTTTACATATGTTTGCAGAAAGGGTACTGAAATTATTTAAAGGCTCAATAAGCCATAAAATGATATAATCATTTTTCAAGAACATTTTACGATTGGTAGTCTGTCACAAGTTCTGAAAGTAATCACGGACCAAATAGCCGAACAATCTTTTGCTTCCTTTGGTGTTTGTTAATTATAACAGTGACATTAATTCAGATACATGGAAAGTAACTCTTAGGAAGCTAAATATTATTGAATTTAATGGCTTATTGTACCTTTAATGATGTCCAAGCTGTTTTAGAAGTAATACTTACACAACACATCAACGTCTAAGTAAAAAACGGACATCGTATATCAATTATTTAATATTTCATTTTTTCCGTATATTAACCCGTATAATAATCATATACGGGATACCGCATATCCATACATTTTTGTAATGATTGACTCAGACGTGACAGTTTCGACCTAAAGGGATATATTCTTTAGAGACAAGCACTGCACACGAATACATTTTATGATTTAATTGGAATCATTGATCAACGTCCTTCATCATTTGTTTTTGTTACGGTTTCAACAAATTCATTTAGAAATAAGGTTTAGCTTTCCAAGCAACACATTTTATTGCTAAAATATATATATGTAGAAAAGCCTGATATGGTGTTGAAAACGAAAACCAACGAAACCAACAAACTAATTTCATGATTCAAACTTCATGCTAAAAGTTATTTCCTACCAGAAAAAAAATAAATCACACCTCCAGGTTTGAAAATCCGCATACTAGTACCTTGCCAGATTAGAATTATATTTGCGATGTTCAATGTCATCAGGAATAATAAATAAAATTATTGAGCAATTATGATATATTTAATACACTCACCGTCCAGCGATATATACCAAGGTTCATTGGCATAAGGTTCATTTCTTGTACACATTTCGTATAAAATGATAGCAAAACTATACACATCTCCCGGTTGTGAACATTTTCTTGGTGGGTATACACGTAAATGTTCAGGTGCCATCCATGCAAGCTCTGGCAATGTTGCTAGAAATAAAGTTGCCAAAATAAAGTTTAGCTGTATAATTGGCACTTACATATACGTACTATACTCAACAAATTGAGAAAATTGTGTACATTATAAAAAAATATTTTCGTCTAGAATTTGATAAATGATAATGAACATGAATATGATCGATTTCATTGTAGTTATATTATATAATTGTTGATGTAGTTTAAATATCGGCATTTTATTTTCAAATCATAGGCAGGTTTTTTTTTAAAAAAGACAAATGAGCCGTGTCACGACAAAACCAACATAATGGAATTGCGACCAGAATGGGTCCAGACCAGCCTGCGCATCCGCACAGTCTGATCAAGATCCATGCTGTTCGCTATCAGTTTCTCTACTTGTAATAGAGTTGATAAGCGAGCAGCATGGATCCTGATCAGACTGGGCGGATGCGCAGGCTGGTCTGGATCCATGCTGGTCGCAAACCCATTATGTTGGTTTTGTCGTGACACGGCTCAAATGCCTTCGAATATAAATCAAACCCCTTTAAATCGTTTTGTGTATAAAAAGATAGATGTATTCGAATATGAATTATAACTTTGTAAAAGGTTACGTAATAAAAAGAGATATGTTATCAAATATAAATGATATCATTGTAAAGTTTATGTAAATTAAAAGATAGATGTATTTCAATACAAATCATAACTTTGTAAAAGTTTATGTAAATAAAAAGCTAGACTTATTCAAATATAAATCATTACATTTTAAAACAGAAATACTATAAATAAACACAGGTATATTGAAATTTAAGTTTTAACATTACAAGTTCGATGCAATGCAATAACATTGACATTCGGTCTTTGAATATCGGTCCTGTAAGGTAACTCTATTGCAATTTAATTATAAGATCATTTTCGACACACAAAGTTACGCTACTTTTGCAATCGTTAGAGCTAATATCTCAAGGTTTTATCATGCTTGGCAATTCAAACTACACCAAAGTAATCACATTTTCGGGAAATAAATAGACCAATCAGATGACGGTTGTTCATATTCGCCAAGATGGCGGTGTTTTTTATAGACATTTCAACGGGGGAAACAGTCTGAAGCCGCAGGTGACTTTAGCATTACAATGATAGGTTATTGGTGTGTTTTGAGTACTAATATGTAGAATTAATTGCCCAGCATGATAAAAGCTTGTCATATTATCTCTAACAATTGCAACAGTAGCGAAACTTTGTGTTAACTGCGTAGCCACGCTTTATCTTTTAAAACAGTGCGAGGGGAAAACTCTCTGATTTGGTATAGACACCTTCTTATGAGAGTTGTTACCCTTGTCTATGTGTAATGGGAATAGACTTAGATTTCTTTTCTGATTTTGGATAAATGTTTTCTCAAACAAAAAACCCAAAATTTTTTTTAACCCTTAAAAAGACCATAACCCCTTGTGCTTTAATGAAAATAATAATTAATAAAAATAAAACATAACGTTAATCAAAAATTATTTTTCCAAAAATACCCGACTTATATATAAATGTAGCTCTGTGATGGTACTATGTTTAAGAACATTCTGGTATCTGAAAATTGTAGCACGGACTATGCAATGAAGAAGATAATTATGTTGATTAATATTAAAGTACATAACAAATTGTATGACACAGATAACACTGAGTACGGATAGATGAACATTTAATTTTTTTAACGTAAAATAAGACATAGCTTAACGAAATAATAACTTTATTAAACTTTGGCTGCTTACAATGCTAACCAAAGCGGTATAAGTACATGTATGTCAAAATATCAATCTACAGATCCTTTAAAATGACGATATGCTATACATACAGTGTACATTAAAGAAATACATTATGTCAATGATATATACTATAGATATTATCTGCCACATCAGTATTTCTAGGGACCTTATTTAAGCTATCCAAACCAAATCCTGTAATTTTAAGCACAAATCTGCTGTCTATTACACATTTAGTGCTGGTCAGTCTACCGTGTGTGTGGATAGGACTGGCATGCAGATAGTTCATACCCTGTAGATAAGAAAAGGTAATTAAGATAATAATGTTAAAAAATTAATGTATTGTAATATACATTCTACTTACTAACATTTTATGATACGTATAACTTTGGAATTTATTCCATAACTTTGTTTGGAGCTAGCCCTTTCCGGCCTTTAATTGGTGGATTTATCTTCTTTAAAACAGATTGCATAATTCTAAATATGAAAAATGAATCGTACGTCCATACAGTATTCTTAATCTTCATCAGGAATGATTTTCTTTGTTTTTTGTTGTTTTTTTTGTGTGTGTTTATTTTTGAGAAATAACTTTGCTAGGCAAAAATGTTGCCAGATGGTATTTTTATAATTAATATATTTTTTAAGAAGTAAATAAAGTTCGTGCAGGAAGGGGAAAGGGAAAAGTGATTTAATGGTCTAAAATGACAGAATATTATTTTGTATTATAAAAACATTTTTCGGAAATAGAATAACGTGTACCTCCACTATGTCAGTAATCAAGGAAATCCGAAAATCCCAATCAAGTTGGATAGATTCGTTGTGCAGAATATCCTGAAAGAATGGATACGCTTTATATAAATATATTTCAAACATAGGACGTAGTGTGTCTTCAAAGTAATTAGAATCGTGCATGTTTGCTAATGACTTTAATACGGTTAATTCGAAATTAACGAAATACGAAATTATATCGAGTTTTTTATCATCAAGGTTTTGTTTTTCGACTTTTCAACACGTACTTTAGACTTTTCATTATCGTACTTTCGGCTCTTCACCATCGTGTTTTCGTAAGTGAAACTTGTCACCATCGTATTGTCGTTCTTTCTAGTTGCGATGGCCCTACTGGACACCGTACTTTAATAATGTAACCATACGTGATGTTATGGGGCCTAGTTAAGGAGCAAATTTCAGGAAAAGGATTTTATTGTGTGAACATTTTGTCATCGTCAGTTACTTTTAAATTCAAGACATGTAACCCCTTGTACATACTGACAGATATCCATTGCTATACCAGGCGCAATTCCTGCATTGTTTCAGATATAATGCAAGCGTCCTGGTGAAACCATCAAAAAGTGAGTTATTATCCTTACCACATATGACGTGGATAATTATATAGCACATACATTTAAAGCTTGGAGTAAATTCTTTAACCTTTTACCCCATTAGCAGAATTGCGAAAATTGGCCGTTTTCATTGTAAAGCCTCCTGTTACAAGTTCAAACTGCTATGAAACTATGAAAAATGCTTCAATACTGATGAAACTTGGGACAAATGTTGACTAGACCGTAGCCTCAGTAACAGCATGCTCAAACGTAAATTTCCTGTTACCATGGCAACGAGGGGACGTCTCAAAATTGCCAAAAATAACTATTTTGTATTGTTTTTTTTTTTCCATCAAAACTGATTTCAAAGTGCTGCAACTTCTCAATGAATTCAGATAAAGTAAAAGGCTTTTCAGTGTTGGTTACAAGTTACCCTAAGATCGACCTAAGGTCATTTTAGCCTGTCACATGTCCAAAATTTTCATGGCGATGAGGGGGACTACCGCTCCCCTTCAAACTCCAAAAACAGAAGGGGCACATTCCTCTCCTGGCAACCCCTGATGTTACATTTGGATTGGGGGACAGCGCCGAAAAAGTGGTCACTTTTTTAACAACATTTCTCGAACGAAAAACAGTGTTTGGGGCCTAAATAGGGCATTTTTCACTGTTTGAGGCCTAAAAAAGACGGAGGGAAAAAGCCGTCGAAACACGTCTATATCAGGGAAAATATTTAAAAAAATGATTATTGATGAAAACCCTTGGAATTACCCAAAAACTAGTTTTTCCATGTTAACAGGTGCCCTTACACCTAATTTTGGTGAACAATTGTTGTTTTTTGACATTTTTATTTTTCTTATTTATAGAAGTAAGGATAAAGAATATACACGTGAAGTCTGAAATAAATCCCTTATATGAAATTGTCTTAACTGAGAACTTATAGCATTTTAATTAAAGAATGTATTCTAAAGTTCAAGACGGTATAATAATAAGCACATAAACTTTATGTATTACGAAATACTACAAAATGAGAATTTCTTTTCCATTGAAATACATGTAATACTAGCATTCATTAAGGGCATTCATTCTCATTTAGTTAAGATAACAACATCCTTAACAAACTTTCTCACTTAAATCAAGATCAATATTGGTTAAAGAAGTAGGATGATTATCTCGGAAAATAACATAGTGACACGTGGTATCTATAGATAATATCTATCTACAATTTAATCAAGTACTACCTGAAGATTTCCTCTAGAACAATGTTCTGTTAGGATACAGATATTGTCAACCTCTGTACATAATCCAATCAAGCGAGTCAGGTTTGGACTCGTTATATAATGCATCTGAAAGAGGACAAAAACATCATCAGCGTTTTACATAGACAATGGTCTTGCTTTTATTTTTGAACAACGCATTAAAAAGTTAAAGGGGTTCAATTAAAAAATGAGATGCCAAATTACATACAGTATAAAGCCCGGTCAGACTGCGGGCAAAATTGTCGGCTGTTACAAATGTCGTTTGCTTTCTTAAAATCTTTTCTAATTTTATCGACACTTAAAAAGGGATAACCGCCGAAATAACTCGATACTTTACAAGACGCAGAAGTAGGCGCTACACAGCAATGTCTTTAGTAAAGGTTATTTCGGTTACTCTGTGTTTCAATAGATAGGCTACGGATCATAGATAGTCTAAAACTCATAAGAAGGTTAAAATGTGTATCAAAAACAGACAGGAACAAATATGTATATATAATAAATATAAATAGATCAACGGCACAGTATGCCAATTATATTTCTTTAAACCTTCTTTTTTGCCAAATATATAAACTTTGTTGTTTTTTTTCTAATTTTGATCAATTGGTATAATTAATATGAATTAGTATATTGTATGTAAGTCAAAATACTACTTTGTTTAAATGTTTATACCTTTTCGACACATAACTGCACGGTCAGACCTACTTTCTTCAGTTATGAAACATGTACATGCTCTAAATACATTATTAAAACATTATAAAACATATGTGTAACATCTCTTACGAATAAAACATAAATGTATCTCCGATGCATAATATGTATTTATAAATAGGCTAAAGATCATAGACATCTATGGGTCTCTATAAATAAACAATCATTCCAATTATTCAAAAAGACATTTATGGCTATCAACAAGGTAATAAAAGCAATGCCAGTTCTTTATTTATTATCACCACCGCTGATTTATGTTTCTAATACATTAGTGAACTGCAGATTCACGGAACCCACGTATCCTCGTGCATTTTGTTAACGAGAGAAATTTCCAATAACTTAATACATTAAAAAAGAAGCTTAGAAGCAGGGTTCTGTTGCAGGCACTTACTTAGTAATTTTTCTGAGAATTTTTGCAAGAAGAATTATTATAAACTGCATTATTACTTTATTTGAAGTCTGAAAGCAATTATATACTTCAAAGTTCTTTTTTAAACTTGTGCATGATTGCATTGCTTATGGAAAAATCAATAATATATCAAACAGGAATTTAGATTTGTAAATAGATGATCTTGATAAAAGTAAATAATCCACTGCGTATCGTTATCTCATTTGACAAACATATATATGTCTGATTTCTCAAAGAAACAATATTTCAATATAGAAACTCCTTCGTATACTTTGATTAAGCTTAATGTGCGTTCTTGATTAGAATGAATACATTGATATTGCCTACGTCATATCCGTCAACATAACAAGAAACATAATTATCGGATTACTGATAATCAAAACTAACAATTTACTTGTGGTAATTGACAAAGGTTTTACGTGTGTATTGCCACTGATTAGATAGAAAGTATCATGATTATAAATCAAACCTGTTTAAGTTCCAGAAGAAGCTTTCTATCTACAGTTACTGATTTAATCTTCGGCTTTCGGATATGAACCTGAGTTCCCTGAAAGAAAAAAAAATGTCAGAAGATGTTCTTCAAGACGGATTGTTACAAATAAGGTTCATTATGTCACGAGCCTTAGTCAAAGTTTACATCCTAAATGTCTTTACATAAATGTGACATAGGGTCGTCCGTGGCCGAGTGGTTAAGGTCGTTGACTTCAAACCACTTGCCCCTCACCCCTGTGGGTTCAAATCCCGACAAGAAAATTCCGAGAGGGACTTTGGATTCTTTCATATGAGGAAGCAATCCAGCTAGCTTACGGAACGTCGGTGGTTCTACTCAGGTGCCTGATCGTCCTGAAATAATACACGGAAGGACACCCGAGGTCTTCTTAGTAAGCTGAAACGTCGCCATATGACCTTTACTGTGTAGGTGTAACTAGAACTCAATCAAACAAACAAAACATAGATGTATGTGACATTAATTACTTTTGACAATATTAGCGGTGATTCAAGACAGTCAAATTGTTTACATGTATGTACCGACAGTTATAACTTTGTCCACTTGTAAGTTAAAAAAAAAACTTGGAGAAAGAAACAACAACATTTTTTACGCCAAATATTGGTAGAAAATTCTTTATAATACCAGCAGAAACAGGTGTAAGACAGGCAGATTGAGCAACTGTGAAACATCTTTTATATATTTACTCCTGTTACTGGTGAACAGACTTTATATACCTGCACAAATATGTTTTAGAATTGCAGAATGAGAAACCTGTGAACGTACTATTAACTTTTCGTCTGTAAAGTACAGTATTTATATACCAGTACAGATATAAAGAGAGGTTAAATTTTGGAAACAGTTTTTAATCCCTTCTATTACTGTCCTTACAATAGCTTTTAGACAGAGTAACTACCAAAATTTGAAGAAAACGGTTTTATTTATTCCCATTGCTGGTTGAAAAATGTCTTTAGTAACCGGGATATGCAGCTTTTAGAATGGTCGATTGATATGCTTTGGAAACAGTTTTATATATACTGTAAAATCATTATTATTCGTGGGGCACGAATTTTCGTGGTTTTCGTGGGTAGGTCAATCCACGAATTTAAGATCCCACGAACTTTTATCCCAACAAATACTTCTTACCCAGTCTTTGTTCTATATATTACAAACATGCGTCAGCTCTTTTCCGGCCGATATTTCGTGATACAGACAGATAATCAGGTTAGTGACTTATTAAATCCGTTTACAATATTTAAGAAACTTGAAAGAAAACTCGATTATATGTCCTCAATTTACTGTCACAAATGTCGCATATACGTACTTGATCGTTGTAGTCTACTAGGACTTGAATGTGTCAACAAGAATACTTGACATAATCGAGTAAATATGGGAACCCAGGCAGTGCAATAATTAGCGCCAATAAAAATTGTCAGTTTGCTCTTATTTATTAAAAAAAGGCTTTGATATTAATGTCGTAAGTACACAAAACTATAAAAAAATACGATCGCTAAAACAGATTTGTTGTACATCTTTTGTCGTTTTAAAATGATCCAGTTTATATGAATTTTAATCTGTATTTGTGCGAATGCTATTCCGTCAACATCAAAGAAGACACCGACTTTTACAAGATCCACACATACTCGTGTTATTTACCGAGATTAATTTATATGCATGTAAATTTACACAGTCGCTGTGACGTTGCGTGTAGGTACTGTCAAATATGTTAAGACCAATTCAGGGTGTAAACTTTTAAACTCGCTGGTTAAAACCTGTCAGTTGTCGTATAAATTATGCGATGTTTACATCGGCGTATTACAGGGGCAGTGTGTCCAATGGAGGTGCATAATTATCATGTTACATACATGTGTTAATTGCAGTCAATTATCGGCAGTATACTAACTGTGCTAATATAGTATATTAGTTATGCCCAGTGGCAAGGATTAAATTTATTGACAAGCGCTGTGTGACAAGTAAAGATATGTACATGTTGTAAGTAAAAATGTTCAGCAATGAGATTATTTTGCATTAGGTTACTGAATTTTTTTAACAAGAAAACGAAAATCCACGAATTTAAGAACCCACGAAAATGCCCTTTTTGATAAAACCACGAAATTTCATGCCCACGAATTTAAGTGAGTTCGCAGTACATAGCAAGAAAAGCACGAAGTTAGTTACGCTAGTCAGAATTATTCTTATGAGGCAAACATGCCATAACGAATAAGTCAAACAATCAATATAAGAACCAATTAAATCAGAGTGTAAGAAATGAAATTAAACATAACACTAAAATATTTGAAAATATAATAACAACAAAAACAACAACACAATCTTACCCTGTAAACACCAATGGTTTGGAAACAAGCAGCATGCGTTGCCAAGGTAATCGATGATCTTTCATCAGACTCTTCGAGCTTAACAAGGAAATAAATAATGACAACGTTTATGGGCAACATACTGGGTGTTCATGAATGTATAATAAAGGTGAGGGTCCAGGAAAATGATACTAAATATTTTGGCCCAACCTTTTGTTTGTCACTTGATTATAACATTATTATATAAACTTATGAAATATATGTTCAGTAGATCGATACAATAAATTATAATATACCTAAATTATAATGCAAAATGTTAATTTATTTAGTCTAACTAATGGTTGATTTCTTACATAGGGATGGAAACGAGAAAGGGGAGCGTTGGCCTAGTGGTTAAGGTATTTGCCCCTCAACCTGTAGATCATTGGTTCGAGCCCTAATCGGGTAACGACCATGTTTCTTCATATGACACCAGTACTGGTTGGTTCCAGGAATCGAACTTGAAAGTGATTAATATAAGCTTCAAGAACTAGTTTTGCAATCAAGCTTAAATAAATATGTTTTAACCAAACGAGAAAAAATGTGTTAACAGTATAATCACTAAACACAATCAAAGACATTAAAGGATTGCGTAAGAAGCTGAAGTCTTCTATTAGGAACTCTTTTGCTGATATGAAAACTTAATTATATCATTCATATCAATATGTGATATGTAGTATAAGAGATTTTATATGTCTGAGATTCATTTCAAAATAAAAACGTTTTACGGACGAACACATGACCAAGACCACAATAAAAATCCATTAAAAAGAAACAATGAATTTATGTTGCTACATAACTACTAAAAACAATCAATTGAAGCTACAAACGACTGAAAACAATTGATTTTAGGCTACGAAACCAACTGAAAGCAATTGATTTTAGGCTACGAAACCACTGTAAACAATTGATTTTAGGCTACGTAAACCACTGTAAACAATTGATTTTAGGCCTACGAAAACCACTGAAAAACAATTGATTTTAGGCTACGAAAACCCACTGTAAACAAATGATTTAGGCTACGAAACCACTGTAAACAATTGATTTTAGGCTACGAAACCACTGTAAACAATTGATTTTAGGCTTACGAAACCACTGTAAACAATTGATTCTAAGGCTATGAAACCACTGAAAACAATTGATTTTAGGGCTACGAAACCACTGAAAACATTTTTATTTTAGGCTACGAAACCACTGAAAACAATTGATTTTTAGGCTACGAAAACCAGTGAAAACAATTGATTTTAGGCTACGAAACCACTGGTAAAACAATTGATTCTAGGCTATGAAACCCACTGAAAACAATTGATTTTAGGCTACGAAACCACTGAAAACATTTTATTTTTAGGCTACGAAACCACTGAAAACAATTGATTTTAGGCTACGAAACCACTGAAAACAATTGAATTTTAGGCTACTAAACCACTGTAAACAATTGATTTTAGGCTACGAAACCACTGTAAACAATTGATTTTAGGCTACAAAACCACTGAAAACAATTGATTTTAGGCTACAAAACCACTGTAAACAATTGATTTTAGGCTACGAAACCACTGAAAACATTTGATTTTAGGCTACGAAACCACTGAAAACAATTGATTTTAGGCTATGAAACCACTGAAAACAATTGATTGTTGCTACAAAAGCACTAAAAACAATTGATTTTAGGCTATGAAACCATTGAAAACAATTGATTTATGCTACAAAACCACTGAAAACAATTGATTTTAGGCTACGAAACCACTGAAAACAGTTTATTTTAGGCTACGAAACCACTGAAAACAATTGATTTTAGGCTACGAAACAACTGAAAACAATTGATTTTAGGCTACAAAACCACTGTAAACAATTGATTTTAGGCTACGAAACCACTGTAAACAATTGATTTTAGGCTACGAAACCACTGTAAACAATTGATTTTAGGCTACGAAACCACTGTAAACAATTGATTTTAGGCTACGAAACCACTGAAAACAATTGATTTTAGGCTACGAAACCACTGAAAACAATTGATTTTAGGCTACGGCACCACTGTAAACAATTGATTCTAGGCTACGAAACCACTGAAAACAATTTATTTTAGGCTAGAAAACCACTGAAAACATTTTATTTTAGGCTACAAAACCACTGAAAACAATTGATTTTAGGCTTCAAAACCACTTAAAACAATCGGCTGTGGATATGTTAAACCATTCAAAAACTTCAATAAGTATTACAAAACCACTTAAAACAATTGATAGTAGGCTAAAAACACTTCAATCGACTGTTGTTATATGTAACTAAACCTTCAATAATTATAACCATTACATTAATTCTACAACTATCGAATATCATTCATTACATTGCCACAAGACATCAAATAATTCTGGACAATCATTTTGAAACTGATATTTCTACAAGCTAACTTATAACTGTAATGGCGTTTATGTGCAAACTTTTTCTCTTTATATCTGAACGAGAGCTATTCGTTGGTAGGAAAGTGATAGTTTATGATCAAAATCTAATGGAGAAAAATTAATTATAAACGATTTGTGTGTGATATAAAGACTTTTATTTGATACGAACTATCCTAAAAATAGTTGTAATTTACCTTGCTACGACTGGAGAAGAAAGACGAGTGCGTCTGTATCATAATATCGTCCGCATTTATACGCCACCACTGACTGTATATTTCCGCTTGCGCTTTGAGACGCCTTGAAAAAACAATGTTTTAATATAGTCTAACTTTTTATACTTGAGGTTCTATGTTTAATTTTGATGAATTTACACAAACGCTAAAATGATTCATATTTCTAATGGTGAAGACAGATCTATAACAGTACGTACACACGTATGCTTGATTTTGCATGAATTGCAGACATTTCTAAGCTAGCCAGAAATGTTCTCTTGACTCTAACGGAATAAGAAACAAAACCGCCGAAGTCATGGAAAGTTGCTTATTAAAAATGTTTTACACCTTTTTTCTCATCAAAATCTTTCACCTCATTAACTTGTTATTCTTGTTCATGTTCTGTCCGCACAAGTCTGTTGCTTATGCCAAAACACTTAAACGTTTACATTAAACTATGATAGTTAACGTCAATGGTCTGGTAACAATTATCATCATCATCATCATCATCATCTTAAGTTATTGCATTACTCCGCAAGGAGTATACTCGCAATTGGATAAAAACTGTATAGACATACGCAGAAGGCAGGACTGACTGTTTTCAAAAATAAAAAGTTCAACTATTTAAAGTTTCTTTTAAAAGAGAAAAAACAACTCCGTGACTAGTATTTTATGTGTTGGCTGGCCAGAGCTGATTGGAAAGCATCCAGCCTGGTATGGTCAACAACATCTTGCGGCAGCTTGTTCCAAAGCACGATGGTTGCGGGAAAGAAACTATTTTGGAAGATGGAGGTGCGTGCTTTGACTTGGCTGAAGCGTTGGTTGTGCCCTCTGATAGTCTAAGCATTGATAAGTGGAGGATCTGGTATAATATCCACAAGGTTGTGCACTATCTTGAAAAACATGGTTGTTCTGGTGATGTTGCGCCGGTGTTGGAGGGTTGTTCCCATTTGAGGTCGATAAGCATGTCGGTGACGCTGCTTGTTCGCGCGTAGTCTTATTTCACGAATCTTGCAAGCGCGAAACGTTTGGACCATTTTTTAGTTGGTAATGAGACCCTAAGAGTGAGGGGACCAGACAAATGAGGCGTATTTAACAGTAGGTTGAATATATGTCTTGAAAGCATTAGACTTGGCGCTTGGAGGGCTAGATTGTATGTTTCGCCTGATGAAGGACATGGTGAAATTAGCTTTTTTGGTGATGTTATCGATGTGTTTTTTCGAAAGAAGGTCTGAGTTTTGAGTTCTTTTCCGTTGATGCTATAGGTGTTGGTGATTTTGGTGGTTTTCTATTTGTGATGTGGATGATTTGTGAGGCAATCATTGGCGAAGAGTCGAGCCGTGGATTGGACTTTGGAAAGTAGATCATTGATGTAGGGCAAGAAAATGAGAGAGCCAAGGACGCTGCCCTGAGGGTCAATTCAGGAGTGGGTTGTGCCTCTTATTCCTTAATGGTCCAGTTTCTGAAGAAGACTTGAGTTTGGAACTTTATCAAATGCTTTTGAGAGGTAAAGCAGAACAGCGTCAATTTGATGGTTGTAATCTATTCCTTTAGCTAAGTCATCTGATCGGTCATTAGTAGTTTAGTGTCGCAGGAGCGTTTTCTCTGAACCCATGTTGTCAGAGAGGATATTGTGTGAGTCAAGGTGAGACATGGTGTTGCTGAAGATTATGTGTTCCAGCACTTTGCAGGAGACTGATGTTATAGAGATAGGTCTGTAGTTTGATGGTGAGGAGCAATTTCCCTTTTTGAAGACAGGTGAGATAAGGGCGGTTTTTCAGTCAAGTGATATCTGACCTTGATCCAAAGACAGTTGGAATAGGTTTGCTAGGCCTAGAGACAACTCTGCTGATGAAAGTTTGAGGAGCCTAGTGAGTAACTTGTTTGGGCCTGGAGCCCTGTGTGGCTTGAGATTCGACAGAGGCTTCTGGGCGCCCCTAATCGAGGCATGTATAGGGATTAGAGTTGTTAAGCGACTAGGAGGAAGAGTAGGACCTTGAGCCCTGTCCTCTTTGGTGAAGACAGAGGTGAACTGGTCGTTCAGAAGTTCAGCTTTCTGTTTACCGTCGCTGTATGCCAACCCATCCTTCTTGAGTTAAGACACACCAAAGTTGTCTTTCTTCTTGAATTTGATATAGTTCCAGAAGACTTTTGGGTTTTGATGGTCTGGATGGAGCATGTCTGATATGTGGGCATCGTGAACGGATCTGCATAGGCGATGGGCTTTCCTTTTAATATTTTATATTTGGACCAGTCAGAAGTGGAGTTTGAGTTCTTGGCACGCTTGAACCACCTTCGTTTCGGTCTGGTAATTCGCCTTATATCCCGGTTAATCTATGGCTGATTAAATGTTTGAGCACTTTGGCGATGTGGGACTTCATCTTCAATGATCTGTTTGCAGCCATTTTTGAAATCACCCACAATCCAAATAGTAGCGTTCTTAAATTTATTGCAGATGTGTGAGATGGCTTGGAATAGATGTTTTGAATGTTCTTCAACATTATCAGTTGGTCTGTAAGCTGAGCCGATGATAATGGTCTCTTTATTGAAAAGTGATAAATATAAGTTTCAAGAACTTGTTTCGCAATCAAGCTTAAATAAATATGTTGTTACCAAACGAGAAACAATGTGTAAACAGTAAAATCACTAAACACAATAAAAGACATTAAGGGATTGCTTACGAAACTGAAGTCTTCTATTAGGAACTCTTTTGCTGATATAAAAACTTAATTATATCTTTCATATCAATATGTGATATGTAGTATAAGAGATTTTATATGTCCGAGATTCATTTCAAATAAAAACGTTTTACGACGAACACATGACCAAGACCACAATAAAATCCATTAAAAGAAACATGAATTATGTTGCTACATAACTACTAAAAAACAATCAATTGAAGCTACAAACGACTGAAAACAATTGATTTTAGGCTACGAAAACACTGAAAGCAATTGATTTTAGGCTACGAAACCACTGTAAACAATTGATTTTAGGCTACGAAACCACTGAAAACAATTGATTTTAGGCTACGAAACCACTGAAAACAATTGATTTTAGGCTACGAAACCACTGTAAACAATTGATTTTAGGCTACGAAACCACTGTAAACAATTGATTTTAGGCTACGAAACCACTGTAAACAATTGATTTTAGGCTACGAAACCACTGTAAACAATTGATTCTAGGCTATGAAACCACTGAAAACAATTGATTTTAGGCTACGAAACCACTGAAAACATTTTATTGTAGGCTACGAAACCACTGAAAACAATTGATTTTAGGCTACGAAACCAGTGAAAACATTTGATTTTAGGCTACGAAACCACTGTAAACAATTGATTCTAGGCTATGAAACCACTGTTTTGATGGTCTGGATGGAGCATGTCTGATATGTGGGCATCGTGAACGGATCTGCATAGGCGATGGGCTTTCCTTTTAATATTTTATATTTGGACCAGTCAGAAGTGGAGTTTGAGTTCTTGGCACGCTTGAACCACCTTCGTTTCGGTCTGGTAATTCGCCTTATATCCCGGTTAATCTATGGCTGATTAAATGTTTGAGCACTTTGGCGATGTGGGACTTCATCTTCAATGATCTGTTTGCAGCCATTTTTGAAATCACCCACAATCCAAATAGTAGCGTTCATAAATTTATTGCAGATGTGTGAGATGGCTTGGAATAGATGTTTTGAATGCATTCAATTTTCTGGAATAGGATATCACATGGAGTGTTATCTTCGCCTGGTTCACTGATAATGTTTTCCTTAATAAAAATGAGGCTCTCTCCATAGCCATCAGTTCTATCCTTACGGTGGATGGTGTAGTTGCTGTTAGTTGGAAGAACTTCTTCATAAATTGTTGGGTTTAGCCACGTTTCACAGCCAAATATGATATCCGCAGCTGACAGATTCGAGGAAATTCCAGAAGCTTGCTTTCTTTTTTGGAGCTGCAGACACTCTGAATATTTATGCTGGCTAGTGTAACCC